CCCACAACACAACACACATCATGGCCGACCAAGCTACCGACGCGCTTCTAAGTGACTGGGGATTCAATGGCTTAATTGAAATCACTTTTCTATTAACCAATTTGAAGTTTTTAACTTATAGCGTAAGTTCACATTTAAAATTTTCGGTATCTGTACGCAAATGTCAGAATATAGGTAGACTTAAAATCGTCGCGTCATGCAGTGCGGCGCTGATCGCGCACTTGGTTATAACGTGTGCTAAATTCCTTGCCATAGAGATTGCATGCATCCCCATATATGCAGTTTATACGTGCGTGCATGCGCGCTCATGCAAAATGGGCACTGTTTTGGCGCTAATTCATGAATTGCAGAATTACCCTAGTCTTCATATACCTATATAGAGACCCAGAAGTAGTGGTGCACTTATTCAGAGTATCAAACCCAAATTATACCCCATTATACAACCCTTTTGTTGTAAACAACCCCCACTGAACAACAGCTTCTTTTTAAACAACTTTCTTTAAACAACCCAGTTGGTTTAAACAACCCCCACTGAACAACAGCTCCATTTTAAACAACTTTCTTTAAGCAACCCAGTTGGTGTAAACAACCCCCACTGAACAACAGCTCCTTTTTAAACAACTTTCTTTAAACAACCCAGTTGGTGTAAACAACCCCCACTGAACAACAGCTCCGTTTTAAACAACTTTCTTTAAACAACCCAGTTGGTGTAAACAACCCCCACTGAACAACAGCTCCTTTTTAAACAACTTTCTTTAAACAACCCAGTTGGTGTAAACAACCTCCACTGAACAACAGCTCCGTTTTAAACAACCGTCTTTAAACAACACCGGTTGTTTAAATTGTGATTTTAAACAAGTTGTTCAAAATGTTGATCAACTAAGTGTTTAAACTTTAAACAACTCAAGTTGCTTAACATTTTAAACAACTCTTAGATCAGGTCACCCGTTAATCAAGAGTTGTTTAAAATTTTAAACAACTTGTTCACAAAAATTTTAACTGTGTAGCTCTTATGTATGTATTACTCTGTTATCTTGATGTAAACATGAAATTATGCATGACATACTGTTAACTTGTTTGTTTTTAAATTGTACATATTGGAAGAAATAAATGAGAGCTATATGCTCTCTCTATCAATCAACAATACAAATGCATATCGATGGTGGGTTGCGGCCGGGCGCGCGCTGTGTGAAGTTATCTACCGTAATGAGGATCTGAGACATTACGGTAGATAACTTCAGTAAGACATCATGGACCAGATGTTTGGAACTCCTTACAAAATTCAATAAGGCATTGTTCATCTCTCTTTTCTTTTAAAGCATCTCTCAAAAAAGTCTTATATCGAAGTATCTACATAACTGATTTCAACATGCAGTAGGCAATTGTCAAATTTTGGTCACATTGCAACTCAGTTTTTCAAATTTTGTTTTCTATTTCGTATTCTTAGTTACCTTTATTGTAAAGGCTATATTTGTTTCCACTGCAATATACCACACAGAGCTACGTGCACTTACACTATTCATTACAAACACATACAAACAAGCACGCTCGCGTGCACATGCACACACACACACACACACACGCACGCACACACACATACGCACACACTCAAAATACACTTGCACAACACACTCACCAACTCATACACAAAGATCGTTTAAACACTTTTTCATATAAGGTTTACCTTAAGATTTGTTTGCTTTTGTTTTTTTGAGGCCGCCATCCTTGTCAAGCTTTGCTTATGATTGCGGTCTCTTGCACTTTTCCAACAGAATAGTTCGGATAATACTTTAAATTTATGATTATATGTTATGGAAATATTAAGTTTCGTTATTATATGTACATATATTATGTAAAAAAAACATTTTGACAAGAAGAAAATATTGTTTGTTTATGTTGTATTATACCTTACATTTATATGTTCTTTGTTATTCAGTTATATTTTATATGGAAAAAAATGCAGAAATAAAATCAAATAAAATCAAATAACTTCACACAAGCGCCCCCCCCCCCCCCGAGAACGGTGGTCCGGTACTTTACCAGTAGTACTTGCAAAAATATCTCGAGTGTATAAACTGTGTTGTTATCAGTGCCGTCGATCGCTCGACGTTTCATTAAATTATTAGAGAAAGAAGACGATTCGTTGTACTGTTTTCGACTCTTAATCCTTGTCTGAATACAGTTTCCCCCCTCCCGCGTGAAACGCGGAAGCTTTGGCGTTTCATTTGATTAATACCATTAACCCTTGTCTGAGGTCATTTTTCGCCGATCCCGTGCAAAGCGCGGAAGCTTTCACGTTTCATTGAATTATTAAGGAAAGAAGACGATTTGTTGTATCGTGTCCTTGTCTGAATTCAGTTTCCAGCAATCTGGTTTCCATTGTCAACACAAACTTACAATCATCACTGTACACACAGTTTGGCATATTGCAAGCTTTGCATGGCACGCACACGCATGAGCTGACTAGCCATCCGGGTAAGTTCAAAGTCCGACCAGACCCATGTACTATCAGCTGGTTACCACGCACCGCGCCGGTATCGAGTGTCGCGAGTATTATTGGGTCGCGTGCCAGCTAGGAATCCATGGATTTTGTGAAAGAAAGTTTAAAAATAACACTAACAAGCGTCATTTGTGGCTGTCGGCTGTGTGACAATTTCGTAAAAGAAGCATAATGATATACATCAAATATATCATACACAAAAAATTGCAGAGGGTGCAACCCCTCTTCCCATGCAGGGCCATGCACATACATATATAAACATACATATTAATGTCCAGATATCTCCTCGGAGATCGAGGAAAATACACAAGAATATAAGAAATAATAATGTTCCGTACACGCAGAAATTGTTTTAAAAATGTTCGCTCTTAGGGCTTTGTCAAGTAATGATTTTATTTAACTTTCAAAGATATTATCATTATGCATCAAAATATGCGCAGCCTATCCCCATAAATGCGCCAAGGTGCAAGGAGAGGGGACACGAATAATTACGTCACAAAGAAATATGAAGGAGTTTCCAATGAAAAGGAGTTTGATGTGATTTCTGTTATAAAAAATATATAAATAAAATTAATGATTGTTTGTGTACAAGTCAATATGTATTATGCTGCGGGACTTCGCCACTAGGAGGCGCTGTCCAGTGAGACTAATCGCAGGTATAAGCTTCTTTCCTCTGTTCTTTTCGTTCATAGTAGAAAATACTAATCATCCTATCCCGATGCTGGGTTGTATATAACGTGATAACAGAAGTTCTCTAATTTCATTTTTATATCCGCACATTCTCTCAGTCTATATGTTTATCACGTCTATTCAAATTCTCTCAATCATGTATACCGCTTATTATCATTTTTTAGATACATCATTTAAAATGTCTCTGCCTTTATCAGCTTTTTACAATCTGTTTCTTTTTATTTCTTCCATTCAAATCCATTTACCTTTTGTATTTTTATGTCTTAAAAGTCTGTCACTTTATTATCTTCTCATATTCTCTCACTCTTTTGTGTTTCTCTCTTTCTAATTATCTCACTCCCTTTCATTAAGCAATTTGCTCCATTTACCACCTTCGCTTATTCTTGTAATCTTTATCTGAGTCTTCCTTTCAAATTATATCACTCTATCATACATCTCTTTCATGACAAGTTTCTCTCACTTTACATCAATATCTTCTCACATTCTCTCACTCTTTGTCGCTTCCTTTCGAGTTCTCTCACTAAATTATACATCTCTTTCATTGCAACTTCTCTCAATTTCTCCTTTCCACACGTTCTTATGTACCGTGTATCTCTCTTCTTCTTACTCAAACAAACACAATTGACAGGATAGTAATTGAAACTAATTTTTGCACGTCAAACAAACATTTAATCACTAATGCTACTATTTCAATGACTTTAGAAAATGAATCATCCTGTAACGTGGCAACTCCCATCGTATCAAGTTTGCATATTTACATCGGCTTTACTTACAATAAGTATAATGATTAACTTGTAAAATAATAGTTATAGTCACAGCAAAAGTAATAATAATGTTAATGACAATAATAATAATAATTATAATAATAACAGCAATACTGATACAATAAATATTCTTATCAAAATGTAAGGCACCCATCAATTTGATTCTTGTTTTTTAAATATCTTTTAACTTGCTCTTTTTTCAATTGCAGACCCATTCACTAACTAAAGTTTGCCCTTTTACCCTCACCATTAACAATATTTCCACGATGCATTATTTCATGATAAAGATGGTATATATTCATCTTGCCTTCATTATTAATAAAGCTCTATTTTATTTTTTTTATTTATTTATTTATTTATTCGGTTTAAAAACATCAACACGTAAAGTTCAGGAACTCATAATGGTTGATTTACAATGAAATTGAATAGTGTAAACAAAATTGAACCAACAAATATACACTTAAGAAGAACATATTGTTTCACACACATGAAAATATGGTTACAATACAATATACAACGGCTGGCTAGATGTGGCTAGACCAAGGCGAGATATGACAAGGAAATCGAAAAGAAGATAAATGACTAAAGAGAGAGAGAGAGAGAGAGAGAGAGAGAGAAGAAGAAGTGGTGAGAGAGAAAGAGAGGGACAAGAAAGGGGAGGGTAGAAAGAAAAAGAGAGAGGTAGAGGGAAAGAGAGGGGAGGGGAGATACGGAGGGGAAGTGAGGGAGAGAGAAGGAAGAGAGAGGAAGAGAGAGGAAGGTAGAAAGAGAGAGAGAAGAGAGAGGGAGAGAGTGAGGTATAGAAAGAGAGAGCGAGAAAGAGGAGAGAGGAGAGAGAGAAGAGAGAGAAAAGAGGGGAGAGAGAAGGGGAAAGAAGAGAAAGAGAGAGAGAGAGAGGGAGGAGAGAAAAAGAGAGACATGGAGAGGGAGGGAGGGAGAGAGAGAGAGAGAGAGAGAGAGAGAGGAGATATTTAGGCTAAAAGGCAAATTAAGAAACAAGGTAGATAAACGTAGCATTAAAACATTAATACATTTCTTATACACATCTACAGAAGGCGCACCGGAGCGTTCAGAGAAGACAACAATGGATTGGCCTGCAACGCATCGTCGCGTCCGCTCCGAAGGCCACGGTACGTGCGGCTGCACATGATGGTCAACATTTCAGCATTTTCAAGAAATTTAGAGTAGCTAGAATGTACAGGCAATTTGGCAGTAAATAGCAAAATATAATCAATACCCTTCCCGTCAATGTTGTGCAAAACATGTAAAGCTAATTGTTAAAGAGTTGACACCTCTATTTATTAATGGAAAAACCCGCATTTCTTCAATATTCTGGATCAGAAAAATACAGCTATAATAAAGTATTGCACCTTGTAGTGGTTCTAAAGAGTCACAACTAGGATGTGAAGCTAATCGCTGAGTTGACACCTCTATTAATGGAAAATCCGCATATCTTCAATTTAACGAATCAGAACATACGGCTATAATAAAGTATTGCACCTTGTACATGTATCAGGTCTAAAGATTCTATAAAATAATCTTCGCATTCGCTTTTAAAATGTGTGTTTCTTCCAGGTCATGATCGGTCATGTTCACGTTTGATATTTTGATAATAACGGTTTTACTCTTTTACACAAATCCGGCACAAGTGGATGTTGACATGGCATTTCAAAAACAATGTTGCTCAGTGAAGCGTGTATAGATTAATGTTATCAATGTATCATTGGAAAGCATATTACTTTTACTCTATGAAAGCAAAGCATCTTATTATACACCTATATTTATTCACAATATCTATTTGTTTTCGAGTTTCATCTTTTCTGGGACGCGGTGTATAGTTAATAATTTATAAACAGAGCATATTACTTTAGATTATCTCATATTTTACACTACATCCATATTCATTTTACCTAAAGTTTGGAAGATAAAATATTGACTTTTGTCTTTCGTTATTCGTTTGCCTTGTCTTGAAATACTTATATGACACGATGTCATGTATTGTATATAGTTTTAATGGAAACAATGCATTTATTCATTGTATTCTATTTATTTAGGTTATGATTGTATATTATAGAATAAAATTAACTTGAAACTTAAAACAAGTAAATAAAGTCATAAACTGCCGTGTGTTTTGACACATTGACGTTACAATATTTGTTTTCGTTATCCACTAGTTCTAGTCATATCTGAAGTATAAGCTCATTACTCGAGACCACAGACAGATATGCATATGCATATGTATATGTGTATGTGTATTTACATGTACATGTATAAGTAAGTATATGTATACAGGTATGTATATTTGTATCATGGACCCTATAAATACTTTACTACACAAACTGCGCTTTTATGTTGTAATCAAATATTTGTTGACGTCTCATCATTTCGTGAAGCCCTAACTATTATTATACAATGAAGTTTGAACAAAGTCTCTTGGTAATAAAAATGAGATTCTATAAAACACAAAAAGAACAAACCGCCACTGATTCTAGTCATTAATATGATTATTTTCGAATTGCTTGAATGTAAAGATGAAAAGTGCTCCGTCTTTTAAACACCATAAATCAACACCTTTAACAATGGTTTCAGTGCTCTTTGTGTGAAAAATTAGTGCATGGAACGGCAAATACCACAAACTCGAACATTCCTAAAGCTCCGATAGACTTATGCAAACAATGACAAAAGAACGAAAACCCGATTTTTTTTCTTTCTGGGAGGGGGGGGGGGGTATTCCCTTGCCCCCAACCAATCCCCATGTAGGTGTTCAGATGCAATCAGTGGTGCAACAAGGTGGTGTGGAAAATTGAAATAAACACATCCAATTTTTATATCCCCACTTCTTTCTCGCATATGAATCTAAATCGTCTGGAGCAATCCCTATCAAGCCAAGTACTATATTGACCCTGACACTTAATACGAAAACAGCTTACATTCTCATTGAACGATATACTGTTAAAATTGCTATATGTAAGACTTGATCCGTCTAGCCACCTTGCCTCACTGGGACTCAAGCCGGTCAGCCCGATCCAGAAGTAAGTAATGTTCCGGTCACTGAGGTACTGAACACGCCCCGCGATGAAGTCCTCTTCCTCTTGCGACTCGATGAAGACCAGATGGGATCCGTATTGGGAACAAGCTGAAACCGCAGAAGAATGATTCACCCAGCAAGTGCTGAAATTGTAGAAGGACCCGCCGAATTCACAATCCACCGGAGGGGATGAGCATGCTGAAAAGATGAAAATACAATATGTAAATTACTCAATTTTAAGAAAGTAGACAAAGTGGTTATTTGGGTAGAAACTGAAATATTTAAAGAAAAATAGATAATGATGATGATGATGACGAAAATAATAATAATAATAAAAGTCGATGCAAAGACATGAACAAAATTACAGCTATAAAAATCAATACCTACAGGAACTTTGCTCACCATCGCAGATAGTAATGGTATTTCAAACAGTTGTTTTTGTTTTTATGAATGAAACATAGGAGAGGAGGAGGGAAGGGAGAGAGCGAGAGCGAGAGAAAGAGAGAGTGAGATAGAGA